CACCTTGGGCTTAGGGTTTAGGGTTTAGGGTTTAGGGTTTAAGGGTTTAGGGTTTAGGGGTTAGGGTTTAGGGTTTAGGGTTTAGGGTTTAGGGTTCAGGGTTTAGGGTTTAGGGTTTAGGGTTAGGGCTTAGTTGACAGACCCTGCCTAGTGGGGTCTGCATGCAAGCATGATGTGATGCTGGATCTGCTCCCTATGCATGCATCCGGCTTTGACCGAGGCTGTATCTGGCAGAGGTACAAGGCGCTGCTAGCGGCTGCCCTGTTTGATGTCTGTCACACGAAGTGGATTGGGTGGTTGTCAAAATTAGGGTNNTTATTATAATACGGCACCTATTATTAGGGTACCCCAAAAGGGTCCATAATTTTGACAACTACCCAGATGGAACTGGCCTCACCCTTTTGTCGCAGGACCTCCCTGCAGTGTCGTCCCCTAAGGGTCCATGTACCTAAATAGTATATACATTGGCCCCAAAGTATCTATATAGGGACTACATTAAGGCCAAAGTATATACTATTTGGGTACATGGACCCTTACAGGAATTCCTTAAAGGAATCCTTAAAGGAAGTATAGAATCCCTTAAAGGAGCCCTTAAAGAAACCCTTTTGGGTACATGGACCCTTAGGGGTCGATCATGATCTGGGGAAGAGCCGGCTCGCATCAAAGCCGCAGAGCGAAGTTGAGGGTTTTGGGGTTTACGCGCGAATCAGATCCCGAGGCACTGGGCCTACGAAAAAAGCATGGAGCCTTAACATTTAGAACAGGGCGTTAGGGGTTTTTATCATCGCAGAATTACATAGGGACCGTATCGGTATATTGTTATTATCATTCTTTCCGACCCCAGAAGTACTCGGTAAGCAGACGCCTCAAATTTTTGAAGCCAAATGCCTTCGACCCCAGAGAAACGACCTCAACTCTAAAAACCCCTTTGTACCCCCTCTACAAGCCTTCAAGAGCCCTGTACCCTAAACTCTAAACCCTAAGCCGCAAAAGGCCGCAAAACTGACTGAGGCGCAAGAAGGCTCGCCACGGCCAAGCAGATTCGAAAGCCCACTTTCGCGAAGAGCATGTCCGACTGGCGAGGCTGAGGTTTGTGGGGTTAGGGTTTAAGGTTTAGGGTTTAGGGTTCAGGGTTTAGGGTTTAGGGGTTACGAGGGTTTAGGGCTTCTGGAGTTTAGGGCTTTGTTGAAGGCTCGACAGGGTTTCATAAGCACTCCAACTTCTAAAGTGGTGCAGGGATTCCGTCTAAGACTACGGTTCAGGGTTTCGGGTTTAGGGCGAGAAGAAGCTGTGGCCCTAAACCCTAAACCCAAAACCGTGTGGCGAGCCACAGAAACCCACAGTTCGGCAACCTCGAGAGCCCGGCACCCTCGGCCTCCACCGCAATGGGTCTCAGGGCCTTCGCTGTAAGACCGGCCTCAGTGCACAAGGAATCTCATGATTTTAACGGTTTAGGGTTTAGGGTTCAGGGGTTTAGGGTTTAGGGTTTCAGGGGATATGTTTAGACCCAAATAACGGTGCAGAGGTAGATTACTTGATTCGGCTCTCAATTGAAGATTTAGGCTTTTGGAGGGTTGCGGCTGAAGAAAACAACTCAGGGTTGGCCCGAGCCTGCCATGCATATGTAACGTCAGGCTAGGGTTTAGGGTTTAGGGTTTAGGGTTTAGAGTTTTGCAGCATGCAGTTGGCCTAAACTCTAAACCCTAAACCCAAAACCCTAAACCCTAGGAAGCCAGAGACGCCCATATAGGACCATATAAGCCTCCCAATTGGGAGGATCCTTCTCTAACCCTAAGCGTCCATGTACCCAAATAGTATAAAATTCTGCCTTAAAGTAGTCCCTATATAGGTACTTTAGGGCCCAGGTATATACTATTTGGGCACATGGACCCTTAAGCCTTAGGGTAATGGACCTGGTTTTGAGACGAGCCATGTGGAATCGAGAAAAGTTCAGCAAGACGAAGTTGAAACAATACACTGGAACCGCAATAAATCTCTACAGCACACCCTAAATCCCTCAACGCTAAACCCCGAAACTAAAAACCTGAAGCCTCAACCTCAGGGTCCATGTACCCAAATAGTAGAACATTGGCCTTAATGTAGTCCCTATATAGGGACTTTGGGGCCAATGTTCTACTATTTGGGTATATGGACCCTTAGGGAACCCTAAACCCTAAACCCTAAACCCTAAACCTTTAGGGTCAGTCAGGAAGAGATCTGAGAAACAAATTCCCGACACCCTTTCAACCCTAACCCAAAACCCACTTTTCTGTAGGTTCTTATTATAAACCCTAATATGGGATTTATAGGGACCCTACAAAAAAAAGTAGGTTTGGGGTCTTAAGGTACAGATACTACACCGAGGGTTTAGGCTTTACGGTAATCCCGGGAAACATCCGACCGCCAGTTTCTAGAGTCGCAGTTCTTTAACATACGCTTTGAGCCGTAGTTGGGCTTAGGGCTTTGGGTTCAGGGCTTCGATGAGAGGGTCAGAGCCTCCTAATCTCTGAAACACAAGGGTTTAGGGTTTAGGGTTTAGGGATTCCATGGGGTACATTCTGGCAGATTTGCAATAAGGAGCCGTGTGGAAAACATGTTGGTAAGTATATAGGTCCTTATGTTAAGCTGACGGGCCCCGGTAACCCTAAACCCTAAATCCTAAACTTTATAGGCTTGTTACTTCAAGGATCTCGAAGAACCCTTTTAAACGGAACCCTAAGGATCCCTTTAAAGGAACCCATTACAATCCCTCGAAAGGAACCCATAAAGATCCCTTTAAATGAAGCCATTAAGATCCCTTTAAAGGAACCCTGGAGATCCCTTTTAAAGGCACCCTAAGGATCCCATTGAAGGAGCCCATGAAAGAGTGGAGGATGCGGGTAAACCCTAAACCCTAAACCCTAAACACCGAGAGAGTGGCCCCCAGGAGGTCGCCATAGAGCCCTATCCAGGCCAGCCTTTGCTGGGAGGTTCGGGGTTCCGCTTAAAAGCGTTTGGGGGTTTAGGGTTTAGGGAGTTAGGGTTTAAGGTTTAGGGAGTTTGGGTTTAAGGTTCGGGGGTTTAGGGTTTAGGGGTTCAGGGGTTTAGGGTTTAGAGTTTGGGGTTTAGGGCTGATAGTGTTAACTTTTAGGGCTTATAGGGTTTCGGGCTTAAGACTTATAGGGTTTCGGGTGTGGGGCCTTTTGGGGTTTTGGGTTTAGGGCCAAACACAAGGTTGAGCGTTTTGGGTTTTGGGTGAGGTTTCGGGCCTCTGGGTTCAGGGCTTGCGTCTGACTAAGCAGAATATGCCTTACCCCTACAGTCAGGATTTCTTACGAATGTATTGCAAGCTCACTGGAGGTGGCCTACACTTTACAAAGTACAGAGGCTCGTCAGCCATAAACTTCCTAAACTATGGGGCATCGTTGATTACTTCTCCAGTAGCCTAGAGGAATTAGGGTTACCCTATGGCACTTTATGGGGAATTCCAATACCCAAAACGGATAAAGGGTTAGCTCAGCTACTGCTCTACTAAGACTCTAGGTTGCGATGTATTCCTTATCTCAACCACATTCATTGATGGTTTAGGGTTTGATGTAGCTGAACCCGTTCAGGGCTTGGGGCTTTCAGGGCTTAGGTTTCACGTCTTTGGCGGTGTAGGATTCTGAGGTCTGGGGCTCTTGGGTTTATGGTTCTTGGATTCACGTATGCACGGGTTGCAGATTGGTTACAGTAGGCTTTAGGGTTCAGGTTACTGGCTAAAGGCCGTAAGGACTTGGAGTTCAGCGTATCGTTTTGGCTTCGCCTGGATAATTCCGGCATCCTTATAACACCCTAAACCCGAAATCCCTCAATCCCTCATCCCTAAACTCCCTAAACCCTAAACCCTAAACCCTAAACCCTAAACCCTGAAACCCTAAACCCTAAACCCTGAACCCTCCCTAAGGACCTCCCCTTGTTGGGCGCCTGTGCGGCCGGCGCTGGTTGCACGTGTGGCTGCTGCACGGCCTTGAGGTAACTCAAGGCTCAAGGTCTGCATTTAGGGCTTACAGTAGGGTTTAGGGTTTAGGGTTTAGGATGTAGGATGTAG